ACCGTTGAACTGAACGGATAAGCTTTGAAGTAATGAACATGAAAGAGGGCAACATTCACTCTGAGAATATTGAGCGATACACATAGATCACGTTTGCGTTCAATTGATAAGCATACTTTTCATTGGATAGCATCAGGTTTTATGGCACTCACTACTGCAAACATCACGACATTCATGTTGCAGACAGTAGATGACATGTCTGCAGTTTTGGGGAGCACATGGTAGAGTTTTATGACTTAACAAAGGAACAGCAAAAAACTCACCTTTATGTGCAAACTCTGCCCACTGGGACTTAACAAAAAAGTCTGTACATCAGCCTCATCTACTTATAATTTAAAGCAACACATCGAGTGAAAGCATCCAAGCTATCTTGGGAAATATCTGCTACTGAATGAGGAACGTAAGAAATAATTTTTGATACAGATCTTTTTAGCAGAACCTGAATGTTCCTGTATGTTTCTGAAGTTCTGTGTAATTTGGTTAAATAAAGGCTTCACTGCACATACAGTATATCTTGACTGCATTTAGTATTTTCCATTTTCTGTTCTGGATGCTTTTTCTTGATTTACTTAAGTTGCCTGTTTTCTTTTGCTGTTGTTATGTGGGATCTTCAGCCTATAAGGACCAAAGCCTCTTACCACAAAAACAGATTTTTCCCTTCTTAAGCTAGCCTCATTAACAAGGCCCAAGTCCTTCACTGACACTTTCTCCCGGCAAATAATACAAAGATATCCTTATGTGTGAATACTACTTCATTTTGCTTCATATTGTTGTTATTGTACATTCTTAATAGCTAGCATGTTTTTCTTTCCCTGTGGGAATTTGGACTTTCTCTATTCTCTTGATGTTTCTATATAACTTCCATTTGTTTTCTCCAAATTATATATTTACACATTTATTCTTGTCAATGGTATGTTTGTCTGTTTGTAGTAACTCATCACAAAGCAAAAACTTTGCATGTTTGAAACACTACTTGACAATAATATCTTTTTTTCCAAATCTGATTCTCTAAAAACATGCAGTCATGTCTTGGGTATGCAGTAATATCTTGATTTTCTTCTTAAAGGAAAATCTTTATTGTTAAGGTTTTATTTCCCATACTTATTTTAGTATAATTAGGACCTACAGTAAGCTGACATTTTGATGAATGCAGCTGAAATAATTAGACAACTCTTAAAGTTAATAAGGAAAATTGTTAATAGCTTCATTAAGACTGATCTTTCTTTTTTCTATTTATCTACTCCTATAGATTTCCTTCTTTACTAATCAGTTCATTTAAGACACTTCTTACTGTTTTAATGTGCCTCTTGAGGTTCAGGTGTGAGTCCATCACTACATCCAGATTGTTATCTGAAATTTTTTTTTCCAGTTGTATTAACTGAAGCTGTGTGCCTAATGTTATACACTCTTAATTTGTTCCAAGAAAAATGTCTTCAGTTTTGTTTTGATTCATGAAATCTGGATCATGACTGAAAGAAAGAGATCCTGGATACAAGTGGCTGAGATGAGTTTTCTTTGCAGCATGTTTCGGCACTCCCTTAGACAGGGGAAAAGCTCAGTCATCCATGATAGGCTCAGAGTAGATCCACTTTTCCTCCAAATCAGAAGGAGTCAGAAGAGGTTGCTTGGACATCTTTTCCGAATGTCCTCTGGAAGCCTACCTTGGGAGGTTTTCTCGGCATATTCCACCATAAGCGGGCACAGGGGACTACCAAGCATTAATTGGTCTCTCAGCTGGCCTTGGAGCGCCTCAGGATTCCCTCAGTAAAGATGGAAGAGGTGTCTGGAGAGAGGGAAATCTGGGAGTCTCTGCTAAGACTACTACTCCTGCAACCAGGATAAGTGGAAGCTGACAAGCACCAGTAGGAGTACTCTTATTTAGTAGTTTGGTGGATTAGCCCAACTACCTATGCTAAAGCTCTTGTTCTCAATATAGCCTTTTATTTTTTTAATAAAAATCCAAATGTTTTTACAAAATTTGCTTTCCAGGTGGATCTGTAATTTTTCCTAACATATAAGTTTCGTAGTTTCAACTTATCAAAAAGAAATATATGATATAAAAGATTTTCCACAGTAACTAAGTGATGGTTTCTGGAAGGACATCTATGCCTTGGGTCAATTCTGATAACTACGGTTCTGTAACTCTGATAACCATGTCTCAGATATGAGCATCCAATTTTAAAAAAGATATTTAAAAATCCCACTACAATACTATGTCACATCCATTTTTGTCTTATGCATAGATTTCACCGCTCTGACAGATTTTTCTGTTTGATTTGCTGCCTCTTTTTACATACCCAACACATAATCTGCCAGGGCTTGGCAAGCTTCGCTCTACTTAAAACTCTGACCACCTCTGTCGGAAAAACCAATTACTAGTGAGGGCTTCATTTTAATTTAAATAAGATTACATTACAGTGACATGAAAAGGGGGAACTGTCAGGATGGGAAGAACATGAGGGCTCACTTTTATCTGTTTCCCCAGCACTGGGATTGTGGGACAGGACTTAGCTGCATAAAGAAAGACTGTGTGTGTCTGAGAGAGCGAGACAGAGGGAATAGGGATAAAGGGTGTTTGTGGAACTGTATCTGTTGCAGAAAAAGAATAGTAGGCAATACTATTACATGCCGTGCTGATTCACATGTATGTAATCGTAATTTGGTTTGATCCATCTAGAAGCAGTCAACTTGTGAAGAGAAAAAACAATTACTGCAATACCTCAGGCTCAAATCAATATAAAGGCCTGTGGAAAGAGACATCAATGGCATAAAGCCATATTATATGTCAGTTTTAACTTTTATTTTCCCAATCCCTTGCCTAATCTTCTTTTCCCCTTATCTCTCTTGGTTTCTGTCTTCATTTGAGGCTACTGCAAGCCGGTCATTTGAAAGCATCATGTTAAAGTGTTCCAGACATCTTGGGGCTTTAATGCTTTTTCCAAAGTGCAAAATATAAGCCATTTGGGAGAAAGTAGTCAAAACATCATATAGTGGGCTTACAACACATGCATATGCCTATAAGACAAATTCTGGGTTGCAAGGTATGCTTTACTAAAAAAAAAAAAATAAATTCTTAAGTAAAAGTACCATTTTATCCTTTGTCCCTTAATTTTGACACATTTAAGTCTTCCACTGTGTGTAGGGTGTGACAGTTGATTGTTTGGTGTATTATGAGAGTAAGTTGGGGCAGTTAAAGATTTGGGCAGGCTCTGGTTTTGCAGAAGATACAAATGTAAATTTTTATTCTGTTAATATTTAGGTTTTGGTATTATTGACTGTTGTAATGTCTGCTTTTGATGTTCTGTTAAATGAAATGCAGTATCAAAATGGTTGCAAAACATAACATTTTGGCTGCAAAACTAAAATTTAACAAACGTTCAGGTTAAAGTGGACTTTGCTGGACTTCCTTATTGTATTGTCTTCAAGCTGCTCTCCAAGGCAGAAAGATTATAGAAATGCAGTAATGACAAGAAACCTAAGACGTCAATGGATTTAAATGGCCATTTATACCCTGTCTACCAACCTTAATGGAGGTGCATCAGACCATGGCCAACAGGTTATAGCTAAACACCCAACTGCTCTGAAGATTCTTGAAATAATGTGCAGGGAGGGAAAAGTTTACCTAAATGCAGTTATTTTCACTTGTAGTAATAATATTTTCTTATCTTTCATTTCTCACTCTCTCTCCACATTTTTATGCATCCTGTTAACGATCTGACCTCTGGTGGAGCAGCGGACGAACTTGGGATCGAGTTCATGGGTGAGCCATTTTTTCTCTTTCTACTGACTTCTGCAGCCCACTCAGCCTTTCATGGGCTTCATATCTGCAAAATACCTCATACAAAACACAAAGTTCGGCACAACAAGGCTGCTCACCTTGGATAAATGAATATGGGCCAGTTGCCATGGCAACACTGTGGCGGCAAATTAGGTGTATTCTGTCTACATGAAGAAGAGAGTTGTTAGGGCAAGAATGATTTAATGAGTGTAGAGCTAAGACAAACGGCCACGTTCCATGTTTACTTATCTTCCGTATGTTTGAAGTTTAATTTAATCTGCAATTTGAAAAGATAACAGTGGACTTACTATCAGCGTATATAATGCAAAATGCTTTTTACTAAAAATGGACAAAAAATATCTAATGCAGAAAAATTTAATCAAAGAAGATGCATATAAAGATGTATATTAAGATGTATATAAACTATAAACAGTTATATTAATACTATTATAGTTAGACCATCAAAATCATGTCATAAGAATCTCTTTCCTTTAATAGTGACACATTAGGATTTTTTTCAATTTTCCTGTCAGTACACCTTTTTTCTTTCATCTTGATATAAAAAAACCGAAGCTATAAAGATTTACATTGGTATTGCCAATGTAAATCTACAGCAAGCTGTCATGTCAATGCTTGCTCCAGAAAATTGATAGAATCAGAAGGTGCTCAACAAGAAAAGCCAGTTCTCTGCACAACATTCTTCAGCTCAGTGATTTTAAATACAAAGACTAAAGAAGTTCTAAATGCTGCTGCAGGTTGTTAGATTTGTTATAGGAAATACAATAGAGACAGATCAATGCTTGAGCTCCGGGAAAGCATGGCTTTACCAGGAAATCTTTGGAAACTTGTGATGGAAGTTTTATGTGTTAAGGCAACACATAAAGTCATGATAATGTAGAGCCATATGGAGCACTCCAAATATGATTTTCATGTTTTTTTCCCCTTTTTTAGTCTAGTGTTCTCTTCGATAAAACATGGTCTGGAATCCACACTATAACTCTAAAATCATAAAACTGTACGTAACACCTAAAATATGGAGTACACCAAAAAATATTTATGAAACTGCTAACAAGCACAAATCCAAGCAATGTTTCCCTGTAAATCAGAACTATAACTTATCTCCTGTTCGGGTCTCTTCATGCCCACATTCAACCATTCATCATCAACCATATCATTGTGTATTTAAATTAACTACCGGTACTTAAATAGTTTTATTTAATGGTTATAATGTTATATAAGTTATACAGTTATGTATGAGTTAAAATTACATGTCTGAGAAGAAGATTGATGCAATCTAGCTTCAATTCCCCCAAGTCACCATCTGTGTCACGAATTTCCCATCTCTAGAATTTGTGTACCCAAACAGATGGGACAGAGTTAAAATGAGGGATTGCACACTTTCACGCCAGTTTTTTTTTTCTAGATTACAACCGTCGGTGTACCCAAGTTTCCAGGGCCCAATTAGTGCAAAAGCAAGTTTTATATATGACACTCAAGCTCTTCACTTTTGCATGTGTCACTAGTTTACTCTGTTGTTTTTCAGGCAGAATATCCCATTTTGTCATGGATACTTTAACACAGTCTTCATTATGTAGTTTCATCAAAGCCAAATGTAGTGTGGTTGTATCATATTACGGGCCATAAGGGACTGTCTTATCCTTGTGTCAGTATAACATCGTTTAGCCTGTATTGCTAGAGTTGTTCACTTTCCTCCGTTTTCTAACATACTCTTGCATCTCATTTCAAGAGTGCCTCGTAGGCATCCAGCATGAAAGGCCTGTAATGGCTTTATGTACAGACTGCATAGTGGGTTTTTCCTTAGAGCCATTTAGCAGGCCTCTGCAGACAGCTGTTTTTTATGTTCCGATTTGAGAAAAGCCTATTTCATCCATCAAAAAAATGAAGCAGAGGTTGGTCTCAGGTGCTGCTCAACATGAGCAATGATGATTCAGCAGCAGGAAAAGACATTCCCTGTGTCTCACATGTGCAGCCGTTGAGAGGTCATTCTCCTGATGGCAAAGGCCCAAAGGGTTTACAGGCTGGCAGATATGCAAATTGGTTATTTAAGCCCTGGCATCTCCCACTGTTTGTTTTTTCAAATAAGACATTTAAAGCCATGCAAGTCAAGCATGTGATGATATTTCATGCGATAAAGGGTGTCATAGCAACTCTGTTGTGATGGGGTAAAAAAAAAAAAAAAAAACCATGATTGTTGCCTTCTGTATTCATAACGCAAAGCAAATTATTCATATGCACATTTCAGCGACATTTCAAATTGCTCTACAGGGTCTAAACAGAAAATAAAAAATGTAAATTTAAATTGTAGTGAAATAATGAAGTTATGGGAATCTAAACTACAAACTGATATGTATGTTAGAGGGTATAAACAAACGGAAGCAACTATAACCAAACTGATTTTATTTTACCTCAGTTTAAAAGAGTAATAGATATTTCCCGCAAAGCATAATGTTTGTAAGTACATTAAAAACATAGGAAAGTAGATATCAGTCATATAGCATTAAGCATTTGACTATACTAAGTCCCCTTACTAAATGTATGGTAATACAAACGGTGTCATGTGAATCATCAAAAACCCGATGGAAACTGTTATACAGGTATTCAATCTCCATTATCCCTTTTAATACAAACATTCTGTACTTATTTTACTTATTTCGCACATTAAAGAATGTCCAAAATCTTTTCCACAACTTCTCGAGAAGTCTGAATGCATTGCATTTCCTTTAATGAAAGTAAAAGGCTGATCTGAGAATATTCTGCAGCTGGTTAGGAACCTACTTCCCCATTCTTTTAAATAGAATTTAATGCTCCAAGATCTTAATTCTTGACCTTAAATGATAGATTTCATACAAATTTACCTCCAAAATCTGTCTAACAGCTCTATGCTGGTGAAGATTCTCAGTCACCCAGGTCATAGCATTCCAAAAAAAGTTAAAAATGTTAATGGGAAGAAATCAAACCACCTGTCTTCTTTGTCCAGAATGTGAACATTCTGGTCATCAAACAAATGTCCTTAGTCAAACACAAATGGACTACCCCCTCCGGACAAGACTCGGCTGTCCATCTACACCTTAAGGACAGAGGATTTTTTAAATTTGTAATTTCCTTACAAGTATGGCATCTTTTAAAAGAAAATAGGTTTTGCATGGGTAGGAAATGTATTGTCAGGAAGTGCTGTTAAAAGACAGAAATAATCAAGCAAATGCATGTCTCTTTTATTTTTGTGCTATTTACCCTTTGTATACTTCTAAAGATGTCCACAAGTGCGTAACACAACTCTTTGGGGATAATAATAAAAAGCTATGTCTGTGTATAAGAAAAAAGGCAAGAAATAAAGATAATTATTTGCAGCCCAGTGAGAGCAGCTGCTGTCCAGTTAAACGTAACAATTTGAGATGAATACTGAGACAATTTACCGGTAATAAGCAACCACTGGGTTGTTGAGAAAGCAACTCCATAGTAAAGGTCATTCCAAGCTCAGTTTTCCACCAATTAAGTATTTATGGTAGAGTGGCCAGACAGGGCCCATAACTCACCTAAAGGTACATGACAATCACCTGGGATTTTAATGAAAGGAATGTAAATTAGTTTTAGCCCTGAAACTAACCTGATGAAATACAACTTGTACTGTATGGCCAGAATTCTCAGTGGTGTGTCAGGAAGAATGCAGACTTTCAGCACTAGCTCATTAATACCAACCCAAAAGGCAAACAGAATGATAGCAACATCCTGCAGTGAAACAGATTTTATGGTCTCAGAAAACAGGGAGAGCATGAACAGGAAAAGATAGATGTGAGAGATATAAAGAAACCAGACTAGAAATCCTTCACAAAGTGCTTGACTCATATACTGGAAGAGTTGCTTCAGTATACAGGTATGTGCTTTCAATAAGTCTGTAAAAATCAAGCCACAAGATTTCAGCAAGGCTTACACAATGTTCCTAACTAAAGATCTGAAGGAAATAGATGTTTTAATTTATACACTTTTTGTGATTTCTGTTAGTAAAACTCTTCAGTGTAAATTGTATTATTTTGTTACTGAACTAGATGTATCCAAATTACTTTACATCCTAAAAAAATAAAGACAAAATACCTGGTAGCCACCAACAGACAACAGTTTGCATTTCTTGTTCCCAAAAGTCAAGTGTACAACATCCTAACTTTGAAACCATGAATCAAATACCAGCACTATGTTTATGATATAGCTTTGAGTAAATAAAAATCCAACTTGCCATCGATATTTTGGAGATATCAAAAAATTTTATCAAAAAGTTCCTTTGCAAGTCATAGATACCCTATACAGATATACAATATTTAAAAAAAAAAAAAAGTGTTACACAAATGTTGTGTTGATGGTCCCAATATTGCTGTTTCTTATTCTCATGGTACAGTTTGTAGTTGCTCAATCTGTACTAATGAAGATTTGCTTCCCTCAGTTGACTTTGTCAGTTTACTCTGTCCTTGGCAGTAACAGACTGCACTAAAAAAGTAATAATATGCATAACGACAAAACACATACCGTAATTCATAGACATGATAGAAATCAATATTCATTTCTCCATGTTTGTACTGATAATTTACTTATAGATGTGATATTAGATGTTGCAAAAAAAAAAAAAAAAAATGGATATAACGGGTTCACTGACACAGCTCCAATCTGGTACAAAGGAACATTGTTTTATGGAGGAGGAAAGATCAAGGCTTGATGCAGTGTTTCCCAGCAAGTGCCTGGATGTGCTTCTCTGATTTATACTCAGCGTTGTGTTGCAAAAGTTTAGAATTTCAAACTCCAGAGCACCTTTGGTTCGATGGACATCTGACATTACAGGATATCAAGTCAATGTTGTATTTGCCTATGAATATGTTGTATTTCCCCATTTTGCGATCTGAGAGGTAATGAGCCAATCAATCACTCTAAAGAAACCACAAACAGCAGGATTATCTCACTTAATAATGGTTCAGAAATTCTCCCAATATTAGGGGCTTTCGAAAGGGGAATGACTAGACAAAAATTTGCATGGTAATCTTGCTGTGTGAATGAGCCTTTATCTGCAGTTGCTAGTTTGTCAAAATCAGACACAAGGTTTTTTATATTGTCTCTTATCATTACCACTAAAAGCACTCAAGTGCTGATGATTATACATTACCGACAAATCCAACAAGTCCACTTTTTCTTTGGTGATGCTGGTAGTTTTATGAAACATCACCTTTAAATTTATGCATGGTTGTAATTTTCTATCTTTAGACAGTACAGTGATAAGTCATTTTAATAAAACCAGTGCATGCACAAGTTTCAGCCTTGTATTATGTGCTGTGGTAAGCAGTTTGACTATACAGTCTGAGGGACATTGGCTGGGATCAACTGCCACTTGTCCCAGCTGTATCTGACCTTAGGACACTGCTACTGATGTGTAGAGGTCTGACAGGGGGCTCTGAGAGCATTCATTTGCTACTACTTCCCTGTCGCCATCAGTCTTTGAAAGCTTGAAGACAAACACAGGCGATGTACACACATGCATTTACCATCACTGAGGATTTCACTCATGCAGGCAATTCATTTCTGAACAAAATGATTATTACACCTCAGTTATTACGTCACTGAGCTTTGTCTTGGTCTGTCATATCCTCATCACAGGTTTGAACTTTGAATTTAACTGACAGCAACATTAGTCGGTTTATGCTTGTTCAGAAAGTTGGTGAATATCTGTGTTCGGTGTAATAATTTAGAATGCATTAAATTTTTGTTATGGTCTACTTTGAATCACAGCGGATGCTCATTGTCCTAAATGTCATTCTCTATTCTCTGCAGAGAGTGGTGACACCTACCAGAGGCAGGTGCTGTCCATCTTCAGCATTGCCTCGGGGATCTGTCTTCTTGGAGTGGCATGCATGGCCCTCTACCGTCGCAACAAGTGAGTGATTCAAGCCAGAACCACATTAACAGAGTAAGCCTCGAGCCGTGCGGAAAGAGGCACTTTATTCTCATCGCACAGAGCCTGAAGTCTGAGTCAGCAGGGGATTTTTTTTTTTTCTTTTTAAGTTAAGCATCACAAATTGTGTGGGATCCATTTGGGACAGATACTCATGTAAGATTTATACGTAAAGTGGTTTTAGCAAGCAGGTGTCTCAGAAATACTTTGCCTGAAACCAAATTCAGGTATACTGTAGAAGACATGCAGTAGCTATAAGCACAGAAACATGAGGAGAGTGTGATTTTGTAGTGCATTTGTATTCATATCCCTTGATTTTTTTATTTTATCATGTTATGTCTTTAGGTTCGAATGTCTTTTTTTTCAAATCTAATGAGGCAAACCAAAACTGTGGATAAATTGTTTTTAACATTTTTTAACAAATACAACCTGAAATATAGGCATAAATAAGTAATAACACAAAGTTATAATATAATGGTGTAGGAAGTTGATTTTTTTACGTTTTAGAATAACCTGCTTAAGATTTAATCTTAAATCTAATCTCAACTATTTTGCAAAAACACTCTCATTAAAACCCCAGCTTTTAAATATGCTGGTAGAACCATATCTAAAACCATCAAAGCTGCTATTGCATGAAATAAGATCTGTGTTCTAGATTATTTAGAAAAATGGATTTCTAGATTATTTGGAGAAAAATACTTCAACTTACAATGACACAGCATTTTGTTTTGTTTTGTTTAATCATATCTAATCCAAGCATAAAAGTTAGTGCTTATAACAACATGTATAAGCATGTTTAAGTAATGGGAAGATGTTTTTTTATATGCTGTATGCAGGATTAGTATTGGAGGCTACCCTCAAGCATACACACACCTCAACAAACCTTAATTACTATTTTGCAGCCAATAGAGAAGCAAATTAATTACATAAATAAGATAAACCTCAGAGAAAAAAGAAAAGTCCTAACAGAGGCTTTGTTGATTGAATTGGTCTTGATAAACTGAAGTGCTTTTCTCTCTTTTCTGTTTTTTCCTTCAGCACAGCAGTGCTCTAAGTAACAAGGTGCCCTATCGGTCAGTGTGACTAACCACTCACCAGGAGGTTCAGTGCACTGCAAATTATCCAAACTCACATATGTTGCTAAAGTAGTTCCCTTAGACTCAGATTTAGCTATAGTGTAGATCTAGAACAAATGGATTTTATTGTTAGTGCTGAAGTTCCTTCTGATCCTCAGTAGGTGCAAAATCTAATTTGTTACACCATGTCACAAAAGAGATCAACCATGAGAAACCTATTTATCTTGATATAATGTGGGAGCTATCGGTACTACAGCAACTAAAATATTTACCATATGCAGTTCTGGTTAGTGGTTCTAATACAGTTATCAGCATTAATATAATGTCTGATCTCTACCCTATCAGAAAACTTAGACTTATGCTTAGAGAGATGCTGGGAGGCAGCTAGAAAATTGAATTTAAGTAATCTAAAACTAATTATGTTGTTTGTTTGGGAACATTGTCATGTTTTACTCCTACTGTAACCATCTGAATTAAACCAGACCGACCAGACAACAGAGGCTCAAACTAATTATCATCTGAAACCTGGAGCACCAATGTAGATGTATTGAATGTAGTAACATAACACTCGACCTAAAGGATAGCAACCAATGCAAAATTAGCTGCTTAATAGGTAAGAGCTTTAACCTCTTAATATCCACCTCATTTTGGGAAATTCTCGTCTATTTTGCACATCCAAATGGAAAAGCAAAGAACTTAGAAACTGTAAGCCCAAATTACATGTGTGATACATTATTTGAAAGCTAAGTTTCTTGAACATATTACATGAAAATTGGGTGAGTAAAACACCCAAACTGCATCAGTTCAAACAAGACTCAAAATAGTTTTTTTAATTCTCGAAAATAATAGGTCTTTTTTGAACATCAATTATAAAAACATGCTTGCTTGTTGTGGCTGCTTTGTAATGGTACAGTTTGGCATGCTGCTATATCTGTGTCAATTGTGCTTTGCTGCTTGCTTTGGGATTAAAATGAACTAGGTGTCATGATTTTAACTATGATCAGACCCAAAAGCAGTAAACCAATACAGAGAGACCAGGGAAAAAGTTTAACAGGTTAATTTAGGAGATTGTGAAGAATCCAGTGTTGCTCTGAACACTGCTCAACCGGAACTGAACGGTGAGGGGAAGACACTGCGGTTAGTTCAGGCTCAGAGGGAAATTTGATTCTCGAACTTGAAAAGGAGAAATAGATTGCTGACTCATGATTCCAGAAAAGTGGTTGCCTCTATTGACTCCAGTCGGTATGGGGGTGTTCCAGTGTTTGTCACTTTCGATGGAGGGCGGACAGGGTTTACCCAGAATGCGGTTCTTTGTAAGTGAACGGAGAAACTGACTGCCACTTAGATTTCCTGCGGTACTTGAACGGGTTGTTGTGGAGATGAATCTCTTGCTCAGTCTGAAGCTCAAACGATCTCTTGGAGGCAAGAAGATCCAAAACCTCCAGTTTGGATCCTCAGCTCAGTTTGAAGCTCAGATGATCCTTCCAGGGAGAGAAGGTCCGAAAAATCCAGTTTGCAGGATGACTTCCTGCCGAGAGGCAAAGACAAAACTCAGGTTGACAAAACTCAGGTTGACAAAAACTCAGTTTGACTCAGCAAAACTCAGCTTGGCTAGAGTACCCCAAACTGGCAAACACTCTGACGTCAAGGTAGTGGCAATCAGCAGCTTAAGAACCCTCTGTTAACGAGATAACTCTCAGCAGGTGTGTGAGGAGGCGGATCAGAACCAGGCACCTCCTGGTGGAGGAAGGGAGACAAACACAGAAACACAAAACACACAGACAGGAGTCCTGACACTAGGTGGTTGAATTGTGGAGAATCTAAGCTTTCCAGCGATGTCTTACATGTCTATATTGGTAAACATTTTACCAGTGTAATATTCATGCATTCTGAGTTATTTGTAAATGCTTTAAAACAGTGGGTTTTGAGAGGTTAAATTAAGCTACCTTCATGACTGAGCCAAATGCCCTTTGGATAAATTATTCACTTTCAAATGAGCCACTTGCCACCTAATATGCAGTAGGAAATGTTACTTTCTAGCAAAAGCAAACCCCCGTTATTTATCTACAGTACAATACTACTGAACAGTTCTGGAGAAAGTGAAACGTCTTTTTGGAAGGGTACTGAGGAGACTGAGGTTGAGAAGGCAGTTGCTGCAGCTGTAGGGTAAAGCAGAGCTGTTGGAATGCATCTTGGTGCATGTGCTGTCTCAGATAATTGACAAAAGTAATATAATTTGTAATTGTAATGATTCCAAACATATTGTGATGTGTAATTATGTCTAAAAAGAATATTAGTTTGCTTAAAAGAGGGGGATCACTGACAGATTTGCCTGGGTCAGACTAGTTGCTTCTGTCATTGTTCTTGTTTAATTTCCTTACCCACATGTAAGATCGACGACACAAGTCAGAATACACGTCTAACAGACTCTTTTAAAGGTACAATATAATTTCACATTTGAAAAGAAATTACATTAACAAACACAGCCCCCGAGCCTGTTTTTGCTATCTCTGGAAGAAAATTCCTCTACAGTAATATGAGACAGACAGGTTGTACCAGCAGCTTCCTCTTTCAGCCCTTTTCTGGCCAAGCAGACTTGGCTCTCCACGCCTCCAACCTTCTGAACGTTGCACCCCCAACGATGACAACCAGGGAGAGTTTGGAAAGATTGTGGCTACAAGAAGTGTTAAATAAAGGCTAGTGCTAAATCAATAAGATAAGGCCTGAGCTCATTGGTGGGAAGGATCGCTTTTTAGACAGAGCATTAGCAAAGAGATGGAGCAAGGTAGTGAGATAGGTGAAAGGGGTTGTTTTTTTTTTATTTGTGGACCTCTTAAACAGGCTTCAACCACATGACTGTTACAAAATGTTTATAATGTTAATTTTGCATGATATGAGACCTTTGAAACGGAAAATTTGTATGGAAGTAAATGAGCCAGCAATGGGTCTCAGAGAGATGATTGCCTTATGCAGGTTGATTAGATGAATTTCTTCTTAATTTTTTCTATTTTCCCAGGGCAAGGGGGTGGAGAGAAGAGACCCAGAGATATTGCACCCAGAGAAGGGGTGCAATATCCCGCAATGATTGCACTAGAAGACTGCCTTCTTTATTCCTGGCAATCTATGGTTATATTGAACCCTGTAAAATCAACAGTAAATTTAAATGTTTACACCAATATATATTATTTTATTGACTCCACATTGCTAGAAATACTGTCTACATTGCATGCCAACTTCTACAATAAACATTTTTGATTACACAAATGTTCATAATGATGTCAATTACAGACTGAAAGCATGTCATATTTTAGCTGTATACCAAAAATCACCAGCAGATTTATTTGTAGGTCAGTTTCATTTAACAGGAAGCCATGGATAATTCATACAGATTGATTAACTAGGCTGAGCACTTGCTGAATATGCTTTAATTTAAATGGACAACAATAAATACATATTTTATTAGTCCCCAGTTACATGCTCCATTTTCATTTGTTTTAGTTGGGGTAATCAGTTCCCTATCATAGGTATTTGCATAAATCCTTTCAGATCTGTGTCAGTAAAGTTTATTATGTGCAAATGCTTCATTCAGCTATATTAGATATGTAAAGAAAAGACAGAAATTGACTGTTATAAAAGTTTTGTAATTATTGTTATATTCAGTCAATTTTGTTTATGTAATTCCCGTTTTCTTTTATAAATTTATTTTAATTATAAAGTCAGATTATTTCCATATATTTCTGTGTGATCATATAGTCAGATTTAGATAATATACAAAGACTACTGTGTATATAATTACAAACTACTAGTGAAAACATAATTCTTATAAAATATAGTCATATTAGGTAGATTTTTTTACAGTAATCAGTCATTAGTTTTTCTTATGTAAACGAAGAGGCTTATCTGTTTCAATAAATTGGTTGATTTTTAAGCATTTCCATATCCCTAATAAGCATGAGACAACAACGGAAAAAACGGTTCACTTCTAGCATTAGAGAACCTCAATTAAAATCAGGCTAATAACTTGGAAAGGAAGAGGATAAAGTAATAGCAGCAACATAACTGTAGGTTATTTGCTTACTCCAGGACATCAATAGGTATATTTGTAGAAACACTGGGATAGGTTAACTTTCTATAAGGAAAAAAAAAACACACAAAAGGTTTGCAGGAGAAATTTGTCAAAAGTGTAGGACAGGGGGAAAAAAGAACACTGATAAATTCAGAAGCACCAGCCTAGTGGTTATTTTCTATGGGGGAAAAAATAGGGCACAAATAGTTGATGACAGCTGTAGCTCCACTGATGGCTTTGTACAGGAAACAAACCAGCTAAGCACCAGTGCACTGGGACATGAATCTTTAGCAGAGAAGAACATAGAGTTCTCAGAAATAATGGCAATGATATTTCTGTCAATTGTTTAGTCATAGGAGAAGACAAGGTTTAATTCAGAACTAGGACAGGTATATTTCTTAAGTAGGGAAAACTAGAGCATGAAAGCTAAAATATTCTATCACAAAATCCCATTTCAGTTAATGTTTGAATTTGCTACACAAATAGCCACATATCAAAATATGTAAAAAGTAAATTGGAAGTTAAAATTGAAATTAAACACATTAAAACAAAGCAAGTAAGACAAGTGGAGGCCATTGAAGGATGATACAAGTGAATCAGGTGAGACACGAACAGCTGGAGTTTAAATAAGACAAAAGTGAGCCCTTAAATTGCTCCAATTATGAAAATGAGTGGGGTTTTAGATTGCTCTCCAAGTTAATAGTGGTTGTAGATTCATTCTAACTAACACTCTATTTTCTAGGCTCTGTGAAAACAGATGGCACCTGTAATGAAATCCAATCAGTTGAGCACATTTGATAAAACGACATGGTGAAATAAGAGACTAAAACACAGGAGTCTATCTTGCAATACAGTAAGAAAGGAACACAGAGTCTTAGTCTCTAGAGTATGTCACTGACAACTATTGTTAGTGACAAAGTAATTCATAGCATGCAGTTTTGCAGATACATCAATTAAATCCTACCCAAAATTGTTAAAGAGGATTAACTTAGTATTTTTTTTTTTATTTTTTTTTTTTTTAAGTCAAGTCAAATGAGAATTTATTTATAGCCCATTTCATATGACAATCATTGGCCTAATGACCTGGAAAAAACTGAAAATAAGACAATCAATTAATATACTAAAACCATAATAGGAACATTTTAAAACCAGAGCACATAGTACATATAGAAAATGCAATAGTATCAAAATATCACTTTATTTTCTCTTCAAGCATCCCTCTGTAAAGACAGGCTCTGCTACTCTCAGCTTTTGTTTGGTTTCTTCAATCTTTTACCAGAATAACATTATGCAACCATATAATGGATATTTCACAGTACAATGCTTAGATTATTATTATTATTTTCTTGTGCAAGGCATGTGTCTTAAAACTGTCCCCTTTTTTCTAACACTGTACCGTCAAACTCTGCAGCAAAACTCTGGAAGGAAAGGCGTTTTTTTTGAGTGACAAATCTCACTCGTGCTCGTTTTTGTTGCTTTGACCTTTAACAGGGCTTGCAGACATGCAGACTTGAACTAATGTTGTCATATCTTGTAGTTGCCTAAGTCTTGAATTGTCAGAAGACTTTTTAATCATCTGGTGGCATGATTGCATGATCTCATTGTATTATGTTCAAATGATATACCACTGCAGGCACCTTCTGTCTATGCCTTTTACCCTTTTTAGCCCTTGTCAGTTTGGGGCATTGAATTACATGCAGTGATCCAGATGGATAAATTGATATCCAGGCATAAAATTCCAGTGAAAGGTTTACATGTTTACAGGAAAATGGCTGCCAAATGGCTTTAAATGATGTGCTTGAACCCTTTTTATTAGGGGAAAAAATATTCCAGAACAAACCATATTGCAAAAAAACAAGCAGAAAAACACCAGAAAACTTAACTATGCAGCAAGATTTGGAGTATCATACAAAATAATTATGACAAATCTAATTGTGATACAAAAACAAAACAAAAAAACATATTTTCAATTAAACAAAAACAGAACTCAGAACAGTTTTTCTGAATTCCAAATTCTGCAAAAAAAGTTTACCTACTAAAAATTTTATCATACCATTATAAAACACTTTTCAAAGTTATGGCAAATACCTCAACAAAGTTTACCCAGCTAGTTGTTAGGTTTAGTTCTGAACTACTTTTACACATAATCGTTTTAAAAAGGAAATTTGAAACCTGCATATAGCATTAACTTGGTTTATGTTTAAAATTAAAATTGCATTGAAGGTCTAAAAAATTTAAATGTGACAGAAAAGTAATTACAGAGGAAGTCTCTATAATCTACATATCAGAATTCTTGTATATGGCATAGATATAGTATGAATACCATTTTAGGCATACTGAGTGTATCTTGATTTTGACCATCCAGTTTTTTTTCCCCATCCATCTTCTGCCACTGATTTGTCAGGTTCACACTGGTGTCTATTTCCAGGTCACCAGTCCATTGCAGTGTTTTAACCATCATCTAATAGTCATACTTTTTTTCTAAGTTGAGTGTATTGTCCTCGACAGAAGACATCGGGAAAAACTCCAGGCTCACTTCTCTGACAGCCGCAGCTTGAGAGAGTGTAGTGTCAATGCCTCTGGTCTAATGTCCAAGTCCACTCCCAGGATTCAATACAGTCTTCATCTGCAAAAGGTAAGTCTTCTGGTCGACACTGATCTAATTTTTAAGCCTGCCTTAATCATCATCACTGCAATTTCAACTTTGTTTAGGCAGGATTAATACAGAAGAAAAAGTTCAGAATGCTTGACAGTATGATCTATGATGTATGTCCTAATAGCCTCTCTGCTGACTGAAGTCTTTTGTTCAGACTGAGGGGGAGCTACTGCATCATACTTTGAAATAAATGTGCAATGTATTTTACAAGAAAGATCAGCCTGTCATATTCGCAGGGACACCCAGGGGAAATGAAAACTTGAAATTAGATATCTAAAATGTTTCATGTACTTCTAGACAACTTTGAGATATGTGACATTAATTATAAATTATAAATTCCAATCACACAGAGTTGATTGGAATTTATATTTGCTGTTGGTCTGGAGTATCCCTGAATTTATAAGAATAAAGAGGGTCTTCCCAGCAAAAGTGTAGAAGACAAAAAGTTTCTTAAAGTAAACAAATCACATCTCGCAAGACATTATAAAGCTAAATTGAGACTTTTGGGTACAAAACAAGTGACAAGTGATTTTCATTTTATCACAAAATGTGAAAATAAAATAAAAAACAACAAAACCACACAGTGTTCTAAATGGCAGCTTTGTGAAATTTCAGACGGTAAAGTTTGTGTTTAAACTTGGCCTGATACGGACATAAAATATATCTTCACGGTTAATAGCTTGTGTCTTTTTTTTTAAACACCATTGCTTTGACACAAAACACTTTCTGTACATATATGCACTGTGGCTGTTTGTGTTTTGGATGACTGAGGAATAGCAGAGAAAAAACTGATAAAAGGTAAGATCAGGGGCCTTGAGCAAAAAATGAGTGTAAATAACTCAAATGGCCCAGTTAGGCTTGTTCATGGATTTGCCATGGCCTGTCACAAATGCACTCTAACCAGCAATAAGACTTGAGAGACAGTAACAAATTCCTACTTTCATAAAATGAGAAAACAAAATGTAGTATATGGGGCTACCAATAGAGAAAAAATGGCCTATAAACTAGATAGAGAACTGACCTCCAAAGCACCAGGGGGCTGCACAAGATAAAGCTTCATGGAAGAGGTAAGTGCACTCTAATGCACATTTGCAAAGGTCTAATCAAAAGAAAATTGTCCCTACAAGTACAATCATATGATGTAATGCAGCTGCAGTTTGCTGCCTACTCATCGTCTTTTTTATTTGTACTTCTGACATTTTTCAACACTAAGATGCTTTGTTTTTATTTGCTACTTTTAAAATTGGCTGTATTATTTTCAACTATATAGATGCTATATTCCCAACATCTGCCTTCAGATTATGTAGTAGTGGAAATTATCTGTCTTTTGTCTCTCATGCATTGTACAGGACTTTTACGGCATAGAGCATGGTTCAGTGATGGCACATGATGACATTGTCAAAAACATGACTAGCAAAGACAAGGTAGTCAATGAAAGCTACTGGTTGTAGCAAGAGGTGCAACACATGATGTAAATGCTTAATATGAGTTTGCCATCAACCTACATAATACAACATTTTAAGAAAATCTCCTTTTAAGACACACAGTGACTTTCTATCTCTCTCATACAAGGCATGAGCATAAACGTTAAGGACAAAACTGATTAATTCAGACAGACCCAAGCACATTTTGTGCTTATAACAAAGACAAGCGCAGAGCCATGAAGTAAACTGAATGCATGTCTTCCCATAACAGGAGTTTCAACCTCCTTTCTGAATTTTCTATTTACTTTCCGCTGCAGTTTTTTTTCAGTAGTAGCTGTGCAAACCTTTTATTGTTTGTGTACTTTCGGCAATACTCTAGCCTGACGTAGTCCTACTCAATTCTAGTCAGAATATGAGTCTGATACTGCTC